AGCCACACCATTCCTGATACAAGCCAGGATGCCATTGGCCCTCTTGGCCACCTGGGCACAGTGCTGGCTCACGTTCAGGCAGCTGTCGACCAACACCCCCAGGTCCTTTTCCACCAGACAGCTCTCCAGCCACTCCTCCCCACGCCTGTAGCGTTGCCTGGGGTTGTTGTGACCCAAGTGCAGGACCCGGCCCTGAGCCTTGTTGACCCTCACCCAGTGGCCTGGGCCCATTGATCCAGCCTGGCCAGGTCCCTCTGCAGAGCCTCCAGCAGATCGACACTTCCACCCAACTTGGTGTCATCTGCAGAGTTACTGAGGGTGCCCTCAATCCCCTCATCCAGATCATCAATAAAGATATTGAACAGGACCGGCCCCAACACTGAGCCCTAGGGAACACCACTCATGACCGGCCGCCAACTGGATTTGACTCCATTCACCAACGATGGTGCTGTGAGACAGTCCTGGCACACAGCATTGTCCCTTCACATAGCACAAACCCCTCCCTGCATGCAGCATGTACATTCCAAGAGTTCAACGCAATAAAGCACTTGCATATATGCTGAAATACCAAATACTTGAAGTATCCCTTGCCTCAAGGTACACTCTTCTTGACCTTTGTTTTGTTTTGACTCCAAATAACTTACAGTATCATTGTATTTTTATGTAACTTTACAAGTTATCAGAGATGACTTCATGAGTCTCTAATTTACTTTGAAGTATTTATGCTGCTTCTCAACAGGTACTCTTCCAAACCACCTCCTCTCAACCCCACAACGTTTCAGAATCTAGCTGCAATAAACTCCATTTTTTTTATTATACCTTCACGTGCTCTCTCTGTAGCATAGGTATTCCAAATGTTTAATACGTTGTTAGTGCGCTGTGCACTCCATATATGAATTACTTGAGTCAAAAATAAGGCAAAACCTATTATAAGGTGTTTTTTTCCAAGGGTAAAAGCCTCCGTATTCCTTTGAGGGTAGTTATTTCTTACGTAAAGCTACTTTCATGTGGTGCAATGATACCTCACTTCCTGCACCAGTTACTTAGTGTGGTAATGTTTAAAACTACACAGATGCTCCAGTGGCCCACACCCTACGTTTCGTCTCCTTTCGGGATCCAGTACTTGCACAGTTGCTGCAGTGCTTGGATGGCAGATACTGCAGCAGAACGCTCAGCTTTAGTTACAGAAATAGTTTTTCCAAAATGATCTTTCTTGGGTTTTCTAAATAGGTGCTTTGTCCCTCCGATAAGGTGCCTACATCTTGCACTGAAAAAGCTGAGTTATCCCCAACACCCAATTCTTTGATTGCAGATACGATTCATCCATCTTTCCTACCCATTTACTCAGGTCACCTATCTACCTGAAACAAAATATTTTCTTAACCTTACCGTTTAGATCTTTGAACCATTTCACTCTTTGGAATTGTTCTTCTCTTTTCTCTAATCGGAAAACCTAAATGGAAAATTTTGAGATAAGAGAGCAGTGAACAAGTCTGCTTCTCACAAAGAACACGACTGCAACAATCTGACTCCTTTATAAGTTATGGATTCTTACAGACGATAATGTTAAATAATTGTAATGCTTTTATTAAAAATACACACACCCTTAAGCGTAATGTGGAAATTCGTTAATTCCTATAGAATGTAAGGAGCAGAACCATAAAGGTACCTCTGTTGGACAGCATGTGACTTGCATTCCTGTAGCCCTTTCTTTTCTCCGGAGGATTAAATAGCTCTTCTCGTTCAGACTGCAGTACGTTCTGCATCCGCCTTTCCTCCATTACAAGCTTCAGATGCTTCACACGCTCTCCAGAGCGGGAGATGAAATCAGGGCGATGCACTGCCAGAGCCTCCTAAGATGGGATGACACAAAATGAAGTCTAAAGTGGCCAGACTGTCTCCCTGCAGCTGGAAGGGAATAATCAAAATATCTAACACCATTACCAAAGCATGGGAAAAAATCCCATCAAAGTAGTATTTGGTATAACATACAAAATCTTGTATCCTTAATGCTGGGTAGGTCCTCAGAGACCTTGTTTAACAATTTGTCAACAACCAGAAAATTAACTGGCCAGAAAGAAAAAAAAAACGCTAAAATAATTAGCAAAAGGGACACAAATCTCTTCTCAAAAAAGCATAGCAAAAAGTTAACAAAGTTGAGCCCATAGGATAGAAGATTCTGTAACTTATTACGATCTCCCTTGTTACAAACACTCGGCACATCAACATGAGTGATTTATTTTGGATCAGAAGCGGAATTTTGAAAGCGATCTCCTGATATCTCTGCCACACTCCAGTGTCCATCGCAGGGCAGTCTCTGACACACAAGCAGATGGAACTGAGCTTAAAGAAACTTCAGAAGTGCACCTTAATTAGCACTTCCTAATTCACGTTTCACTTGCTGTGGACAACCTCTTTCAAAAATATTTCTGTACACTACATCTGTGTTTTTCCACAGATATTTAGAGTGATCGCACCTTATCTGAAGCGTACACCGTATATGCACGTGCGTGTATGTACACACACACATACACTGTTTGCACTGTATGAATTAAAGCCCACTTTAATCACATACTATGTACACACAGTATTATTTCTGCATGGAAGCAAGTATGACTTGACACTACCTCAGCTACATTCCCTCTAGTTCCTGAAGCCAAATGATTTAAGCCTTAAAATATTAGGTCAATTCAAATATACCAGCATATTGTGGAAAGATTACCATAACCAAACAGGACTGACAAATTCATTGGTTTTCTTGTTCTATTTTGTTGGGGTTTTTTTGGGTTTTTTTTTTTTGAGCAGGAGCAGTCTGTAACATGTTGACTTCCACTGATTATAAAGGTGAAATAACAAAACAAAACAAACAAAAGGAATAAAATGAATGTGTTTCCAGAAGATTCAGCATTGCTCCTGAAATCCTACTGAGACCCCAGCAGCCTTACAGCACAGTGTGCCTTTACCTGTAGCGTAAGCTTCACGAACGGTCGCAAGGACCTGTTCTCAGCATCTCTTTCTGGAACTGCTGGCTGAATCGCGTTGCTGTGCTGCTGCTCTTGCCAGTTCTTCTCTCGGAGAGGCTCTCTCCAAGGCTTTGTGCTGGTCAATGGTTCAAACCAAGCGGGACCAGGACCAGAAAAGGAATGGGAATGGTTTTCTTTCCTAGACTCAGATTTCAAGTCTTCTGCTTGGACGAACCATGAAATTCCTGTTAAAAAGATCACAGAAGAGAAAAAAGGTTTGTACACAATATATGTGCCTATTTTCCATCCCCACCTATGGCCCTTCATGCCCAAGGTCTTTGCTAAATACAATCAGTGGCCTAACACTGCAATAAATACTTCAGTTTAATAACGGTGGGACTCTGTAGCAGACACCTTTGGCAGTTTCAAAAGAATTCCTTTGCCAAGTGTCAGAAAACCAGCAAGTCTTTATCAAACAACACTTCTGAAAAGGCACAAAATGGCTTAGTTTGCAAGTTTCTCTCTCTCTATAGAAAGAATAGTTATTTATCAGCAATTACACATTTTTAAGGTGCCTCTGTGCTGTCCTAAGCCCTGTGGCTTTTTATAGATATTTTTGAAGATCAAATGCTTTACATCTTGCAAATGTTAAATATGTATACAAGAATTAGATTACTCACAGTTTACATACATAATGGGATTTGAATACATCAGCTAATATTCTGAGCAGATATTCAAAATTTCCTAAATTAAACCGGTATGAGAGAGAATGATTTGTCCCTACAACAACGATGACTCAGGAAAACATTTTTAAACATTTAATCATGACATTGTGAAGACTGACAGGAAATTTGGGAGGGGGAAAAAAAAAAAAAAAAAAAAAAAAGTCAGGAGGCTACACCATCAGCCCAAAAATGCAACTCTAGCTAAAAGAGGGAGACATCTAGTTCTTCTGGTACCACAATCTTCCCTCAAGTACTCCTGAAAAAATACTTGTTCTTTCAAGCCTCACTACCTGAAACAGTAAGTACAACTTACAGTGATCAGGTACTCAGAGCTTAACAGAACCTTTTATATCTTGAAAATCAAGTATCTACGTGATTCCCACCTCATTCATCTTTCCTCGCCTTATTCATTGCTTCCTATTTACTGGCGAGGTTGCATCTAACAGCTTGATTGAAAATGCCATCATAACAGAGCACTAGAGAGCTCACTTGACATAGTGGTTTTGTTTAAAATCCCTTGATTAAAAACAGACTAAGAACTGACTGTACTAGTGGCAGGCTACTCTGTGTCAAAAAAAAAAAAAAAAAAAAAAGTCAGGAGGCTACACCATCAGCCCAAAAATGCAACTCTAGCTAAAAGAGGGAGACATCTAGTTCTTCTGGTACCACAATCTTCCCTCAAGTACTCCTGAAAAAATACTTGTTCTTTCAAGCCTCACTACCTGAAACAGTAAGTACAACTTACAGTGATCAGGTACTCAGAGCTTAACAGAACCTTTTATATCTTGAAAATCAAGTATCTACGTGATTCCCACCTCATTCATCTTTCCTCGCCTTATTCATTGCTTCCTATTTACTGGCGAGGTTGCATCTAACAGCTTGATTGAAAATGCCATCATAACAGAGCACTAGAGAGCTCACTTGACATAGTGGTTTTGTTTAAAATCCCTTGATTAAAAACAGACTAAGAACTGACTGTACTAGTGGCAGGCTACTCTGTGTCCTAGCTAATCCTCCTCACGTATTTTGCTGGTTGCTGTTCAGACGTACAGCTTTTCTGGTCTACAGAGAAAGCGTATTTTGGACTGACCTTGTGGTAAATGCAGCCTGCTCCTTTTCGTCCTTTTCTCCACGAAAAAACTGCCTGGCTGTCCCTTCTGCTTACCCTTGCTTCCTGCTGCCTGACGATCTGTGACCATACCATCTGACTCTCCAAAAATACCATCAACACAATGCCAGGGTTCCTGTGGCCGTCGATTTGGCTGGCTAGATCTTGGGGTAGGAAAAGTCACACCAACATCGCGTGTGTTTTTCTTAGTTGCACTGTTCACAATCTCCAGGTCTCCTGTAGTTGAAAATGAAGTGGTAACATCTTATTCCAGAGCAGCTGGAAGTACTTCAACATCAGCACGTGTGACAGGCATAGGTCAGGGGGCGACCCTCAATTTTTACTGTGACTCTCTGAAGAGTCAACTTCAAATCCACTGCCAAAAGACACAATGGCAGGTCAACATACAGCTTTACATTTTGCACAATGGAACTGCAGGTTTTTCTGGACCTGTTAGTTTACCCAGTGCGTCCCATCCAAAACTGTGTTTTGGCTACAGAGGATTGGTTTGCCCACAGCACTACAAATATTTAACAGAAACACCACCACAAACATTTACCAGAAACATATAAAGTGGAAGGTGTCAACTAACATTCAAAAAAGTCATAACGTAATCTTGAAAACAAGCCATGAAAATACTTTTCTGATTCAATCCACTTGCACATGAGAAAAAAGCAGTAATCAATAAATAATTGATATGTCTGATGAATAAAACAAAGCCATTACTCAATCTGATGATGGGAAGTTGGTGTGTAAATGAAAGCAATGAAGAAACTGATAATTGCCACCAGAAAAACCCAAATGCAGAACTGCACCAGTCCAGGATCAGCTTACGTTTTAAATAGAATATAACACCCAAAATATTACCAAGAAGCATACGAAACACTGCAGTTGCCTTCTGAAATAGCATATGCCTACAAAATACATTCTGTGAATAACAGATGTCTTGTGGAGAAAACAATATATAAAAAAAAATACAGTTCGTCCACCTTTGCTACTGAAACGGATCAGAAGCTTAGGTTAATAAACTTATAAGTAAGTGAGAAAGCTGGCTACTAAAGCAGACCAAGAAAGGAAACAAAATGGCCCATTTTATCTTTCCCTAAAAGCTTTTGAAGTGAATTTGAAGAATGCTGCTTGTACATACCCATCACCAAAAACACGCAACAGACTTTGGAGAATGGTTTCCAAAGAGATGAAAAGCAGAAGCAAACACAGAAGACAAGTCTGGAATTCAACAACTCACCTGCTTGGATCCCTTTGTTTAGCATCCGTGTCCGTCGCTTGTTACTAAGAGCAGAGCTTGGCCCCCAAGAACTGCTGCTTGCAGAAGCTGAATCCGATGAAAGGGAGATTGCATTCTAGAAAAAAAAACAAACCATACAAGAGAACAGAAATTCCTGAAATACTAACTGAAATGAACAGAAAGCAGGTTTTAAACAGCAAGAAAGTTATAGTCATCATTCTTTACTTGTTATACCTTGGTCCTATTGTTATTTAGACGTTTGTCACAGGCTCACCAGTGTCTCTTATTGCTATGCCACACAGATCAGTGTCTCATATTGCTATGCCAGCCTTGACTTTATCCTCATGCACCAATGCACTTTCTGCACCCCGTTACAGTAAGAAAAGCGCATTATTTCTGTAGGCAAGAGCTTGCCTGTGATCACAACCTGTACAGTGCTGACCATCCTCCAATTCATTTGTCCAAAGTTCGTGGGACAATGTGGCCTGTCAAGACAGACTTACAGAAAACCTTTGCTGTAGCAAGATCATTTGTTGGCTGTACTTTCATGAGAAACTGCAAAGTGTGAAATATTTCTGCTTTGGAAAGAGGCAGAATAAACATCTAAACTGAATCCTATATTCCTACCCTCTCAAGCCAAAAGCCTTCAAAGGTTGCTGGGTTTGCTGGAGGGACAAACTGTCTTGAAAGATTAAGATGTTGCTTTGTAAATTCCCAAGGAACTCCCGTTCTGTACCACGAGCATGAAAGAGCAAAGCCCTTTCAAAACACGGGAAGGTCTCTCACCCTGTGATCCTCCTTACACAAAGTTCTCCAGGTGGAGAAAATTAAACTCAATCAAAACAAGAAACAGAAGACACGCGGTAAGAGCATGGCTTAGGCAAAACGCTAGTTTCACATCTTCACCATTCACACAAGCAGAAGTTCCAGCTGCAGGGATGGAAGCAGCACAACTTTGATACAATACATTCATTTAAATTTTATGACGTGTTATAACTTTACAGCCTTTTAAAAAGGAATATACTCTGTAAAGTGTATTGCATCTAGTCCACAAGCTTTGTGGTTATATAAAATATGGAGAGGGTTAGTGCTTTATTAACGGCAATTAACTGACAGTGCTTCCCCAGGCTTCAGATCCAACAGTGCGGCACAGACCAATCTCTGCAGCTCCGCTGAATTTTTAATTATGAAACAGATTTTTTTTTTTCCTTGATGATAGCAATTAGTATCCTATTAGTAACTCGTAACACTAGCCACGATGGACATGAACAGAGACTTTTTTTTATTACCTTTTTATTGAACCTCTGCTATCACCACTTCAATGCAAAACATAATTTCATTTCAACATTAAAAGGAGGCAATTTTTACTCTCATGCATACTGGCAAGAACGGTTTTTCAGTTTCATAAAGCTGTTTCAGCTCTAGTAGAGTGCACTAGACAGATGTAGTAGATATGTGTCTTCTTTCAGAGAACAGAAGCAAATTTGAATATGTGCTCAGCAAAAGGGAAGAGAGTATAAAGTAAGGGAAAAAATGAGATAACCCATTTGCATGCACATGCATATCAGCCCGCAGAAATAAATATAAGCAGCCATTCAATACCAAATATTGACATGCATATTCCTATTTGGACTAGAATATTCAGTGCAGCGCTTTCAAAGCCCTTCAGCAGCTGAATAGCGCAACCTTTCGCTTTGTACCTGCTACCAGATGGCAGCTTGAAGAGTACTTTAGAAATAACAGAAACTGGAATAGATAAAAACCTTCTGGGATGGGTTCAGTATCTATAAATAAAAAAAGCTGTAACCAAGTTTTCTGGAAGAGAGCTGACAATAGGCTCTCATAAAAAAACTGAGCTACAAAATGCAGCACTCGCCTGAAAGATCTGTACAGTAGTCTCCCTAGGAGTGGGCTCCTGCTATAAATAAATATCCGTCTCTGAAACACAGATATTTGCAACTGAAAAAATAATAATAAATCTTGATTTCTGTTCAGCCGAGCATCACAGAAATTACCATAATTTGGATTTTAAATTAAGTTTGCCATTTTGCCATCAATTTTCCCCTCGCGCCTTATTTGAGGTGGGTCATGTGTCTCTTTATATGTATTTTTAAAAAGAACACCACATCAGCAGATAAAAGACACTACTTTCTAAAGCCATATGGGTTCAATGCAACATCAAGCACCAGGAACAGTGAGCCTTTATTCTCACATACGTATCACTGCAACCAGTCCTCTCATGGGTGATTTTAACAGGCAAAAGACTAGATGTCGGTTTTAAGGTCCAAATAGACATCGAAAGATTAGTCTTATGAATGGAAAATGGAATAAAAGCATCTCCTAAATATCACAACCGTGCAAGAAATGTTGGATACTAATTTTATTGTTAGATGGTCAGTGTTCTGATTAATAGTCCTAATGTTGCAAAGTTTATGACAATTTTATTTTACCTTTAAATAAGTAGTTTAAATAAAAATATTAATTAAAAATATTTTTAAACCATTCTTAGTCTTGAAAAAGGCTGTTCCTCCCCCACACATGCATTCATTAGCTTACTCAACACACAGAGCTTGAGTTGTTTCTATAAAAAAAAAACAAACAACTAACTCATTTCAATGAAATCTATTAGTAATGATGACACTACCACTTTCTTCTAGTAATACGAAAAAAAAAGAGAGAAATATTTCTCACTTGTTCCCGTACTTTTCAGCATGAATGTATATTACAGAACACCAAAACTCTGTAATTTCTTACTATGATCACCAAATCCGTGCCAAGGCCCCCTTTCAGGAAATTAATTTTCATTTCTCCTCCAAAGGGCAATGGCCGATTTCAACTGAAGTAATCAGAAAGATTTTCTCCACTTTAAAACAGCTTCACTCCAGACTTTTCACCTAGAATCCTTAGGGCCAAGCCTTGGTCTTTTAATAGAATAGCCTGAACTGCCAAATAGACAAATTGAAGAAGCTTAAAACCAACACTCGACAAAATAATTCCAACATTTAAAATAGACAAACAGTAACAAAAGTCAAATAATAATTCCAATTTTTACGAAATGGTATTTATCGTTGCCCAGAGATATTCAGGTAGCAATACGCAAAAGTCTACAACCTCAACTTACCACCACCATCTTCAGGATTGCTAAAGCACAGAACCTGCAGGTAACTAGAAATCAGATACAGCAGGATCTTGCTTACCAAGACAAATAAAGGAAGAAAAAAAAGACAAATAAGAACAAAGGGAAAGAAAGCACAATTGATGTTTTAAGATATTTTGATCTCGTCCTTGTTTCTGGAAAGACAGAGAGACTTGTTTGAGCTACGTAGATCAAAGACAGAAGCCTACCATATAAACAACACTCTCTGGGAAATTTTAAATGATTCTCCGAATAACAAACTCGACTACTGTACAGCAGTTTAAGAGTTCCTGTAAAGATGAGTTAAAAATGTCTTCTAGTCTAACTGACCACATACCTGGATCTCTTTCCTTGTCCTGTGTCTCTCAGAAGTAACCTTTGGATATTCTACACCCACTGCTTTGCCACTTCCCTTGTCCCACTTTTCAGAGCGGCTTTTCTGGTGGTTGATGGTACAATAAAGCTGGGAAAGTCTTGGTGACACCCGCACTCTTTCATGCCCAAAAGCCCTGATCAGCCTGGCAGTGTCAATGGTGGAAATGGAACTGCTCACCTCAGTCTGAGTAGCAGTTTCCATCTCTGTTTGGGTCACCGCATCCGATTCTGAGGTGGTGGAACTGATCGTGGTGCCATGATCTCTACTAAGCCTTGTCTCTGAGGAAGTGTCACTAGGAGTTTCCAAGTACTGCTGGTGCTCCAAAATTTTATTCATGTGGTAGATAATTTTCTCTCCTGACCTATTTTTCCTGAGCTCAACAAGACTATTTTTATCGTGGGTAATACGTGGTCTTTCTTCAACTTGTGTTGCATTAGGCTCTAAGGTACTTTCAGACATGCTCTTTTCTGGCAGTCTTA